GTCCGACCAATTTTTTGCGATTGTTTTGTAGGCAATAGCGATGGATACGAATGGTTCGTCAAATGAGGAGTATGGAACCACAAAGCTTGATGAATTGATTCAAAAGGAGTTCTTCGATTCATTGGATTCGAACGAAGAAGCCAAGATGATGGTGAGCATCCAATTGGCTTCGATCAAAGGGAGAAGAGTTCTGCATCGGGATAGGGTCTCTGGAGCACAAATACTCTAAAAGGACTACTTTGATCCAAAACCTGCTTTCCCTGGTGAATGGTTTCGTCAACGCTTCCATATGCGGAAACCATTGTTCTTGCGTGCATGGTGGAGGGAGTGGAGGCGCATGATATTCACGTGTTATACCTTAGATGATTAGGTACACGCACAACTACTTAGTGATCTTGTGGAGCATATGTGGACCCACAACGGAAGCCAAATAGCTAATGTTTCAATTGTGGACTTAAAATAAATTTTATGTTCGAACATATATTTTTCGCTACCAACAAATGTTTATTTACATGTGATATTCACGTGTATGATGGACGTGCATGGATTTGTATGGATTTGAAGATTTAGATTCCATGTTTGTGACTGTGTGGTATGCCATATGCGGGTCTGTTTGGCGATGTCCGCGGTCGTGACCGGGTGTTTCTACAGACGTTTGAAGTGCCGGATTTTGTGTATCCAATTTTGGATGCTCTCATTTCACTAGAGATTGTATAAGGAATGCCAAACCATATCACACAAATATATGTTAGCAGGCATGCGATTTATCTATATATAGAATACACAATGATTTTAACGATCTGTTTTGATTGCACGCTTTACTTCTTTCCTCTTTACCTCAAGTTGATTGGTGGGTATATTAGAACACCCCTCCCCTCCACAACAAAGTTACTGTGTTATAGACGCGTACCGGACAAGCCTAGATAGTAATTTTCTCCATGGCCAACTATAGCAACTGCTTCCATACATCAATCATACTCTCGATGCTTCTTCTCATATGCTTTGCTACCCATGCACAATGTATGTTTCGAAAACCAACCGATCCACTTACTGTTATACCTCAGATGATTAGTCTTTTCATTACTGATCTTCCATTATCGTCGAGTTAATGCATATGCTACGTATAACTTTTTTTGAGTTGTTTATAACTTTTATTTCTTCTGAAGTTCATACGGTTTTTCTGAGTGCTTGTGTATTTGTTTGCTGCTGCATCAATTACTTGTTACTAGTTGATAAGCAGAGATTAACGTGAAACTGTTTTATGTTCTATAGGCGGCAGAATCCTGGAAGACATGAAATCAATTAGGGTCAATATACCAGGTGGTCTGTGCGCCCGTGTTCGGGGCTGCAAAGACGTATGCATATGTTGTTTAGTAAAGGATTCCTGCTATGATTCATTTGATGAATGCCTGGCCGACTGTCCAAAAACTTCTCCGTTAGACCCAGCGGCAGCGATGAGTCGTTCTCCATCACCATCCTATCTAATCTAGTCATATGGCTTTTGAAGGATGATGCCGGATGTGCTCATGAATAATTTATTATAATAAATAATATCATAATATTTGCTTTACAATAGTTGATAACTTATATATCCATGTTCTCTACAAGTTAATTAGTTGGCGGCTGCTACAGATAAGTCGGATGATTTCCTAGAGAAATCATCCGCCTAGCCCGCCGTCCGATCTGACCGAGGGTGGCCGTTCAATCGCCGCATACGAAGCCGTTTTCTTTCTCTCTGTTCTTCCATCCTGCACCCCGTAGCATCTGCAGCAAAAAAAAAAGCTTCAACGCAGCTGCTCCCATGGCAGCACCGCGCGGCGCGGCGCCCGGCGGTGCTTCACTGCAACCCCGGCGATGCCCCAATGCACCCCGGTGCTTCAATGCAACCCCGAGAAAGCTTCAACGACCCCAACGGTGCTTCACTATAGCTCCGGCTCGCTTCATTGCAGCTCCGCCGCCGGCGATTGCAGCACCAGCAGCACCGCCCTCTGAGGTTGCACCGCAGCACTGTGGACATGGGCGAGTTTCTATGTCGCAACACCGAGTTCGTCGACGAGCGCCGCCATTCCAGCGAACGGCCGCCTCCCCTGCGTGTTGCGTCGCCCCCTCGGGGTTGCAGCACTGTGGCGGTGCGCTCGTAGGGCTTCATTGCCCTTCATTTGCGGGTGGGCAGCAGGCAGTGTCGCCGTCGCTCCTGGTTCGCCGCACCGTGGAGTGAGAGGGGCGATGTCCGCCATGGAAGCCTCTCTCCTCTGTGGTGTGTGAAGATGCAGAGACGGGGAACGAATCCGACGGGGAAAGGGGAAAATGAGTGGGGAGAACGAGTGGAGGAGAATAGAGGTGGAAGAGATAAGGCTGGCTGTGGGCGGTGGATGGGCCCAGTGGACACGTGTCGAGTCCTGCGTGCGGCTTATGTTTGTTTGTTTTAATCCGATTGAAAACAAACGTTTTCCTAATTAGTTTTGTTGAATATATGTATTAAGATATTTTCCTAATAAACCCCGCCTCCTGTTTCCTTGTATAATTGAGGCCGTGGGCTACATCCTATACATATATACGTGCGTGTATGTATCCAATCTAATAGAGAGTTGCATTGCCTTCCGATATAGTATCAGTTTTCCTACCCCGATCCTAAACTTAAGTCTTTTGCTCCCGTCGCCGCCGCACCATCTAGGTCGCCGCCGCTGCACCCGCCGCCGCTCCTTCCCCTAGCCGCCGCAGCCAACCCTACCCTACTCTCTCCTCCTCCCGATCATTATAACCCCCACCGATCACCAACTCTGGTTACCGTGTCTACCTTGGGCCGTCACTCATATCATGGTCGTCCAAACGACAACCCGTGGTGTCCCGATCCAGTGCTGAGGCCGAGTATCGGGTTGTGGCTAACACCATCGCCAAGTCTTCATGGCTCCGGCAACTTCTTCAGGAGCTGCACCTTGGCGTGGCCAAGGCTATTGTTGTCTACGGCGACAACGTCTCTCCGCTAACCCCGTTCATCATCGTCGCACGAAGCATATTGAACTCGACATTCATTTCGTGCATGAGCAGATGGCTCTCAGACATTTCCGTGTCTTGCATGTCCCCACTGCTCAGCAATTCGCCGATGTCATGACAAAGGGGTTACCGATGCATACATTTGAGAAGTTCCGGTCTAGTCTATGCGTCACAGGTGACATATCGACTGCGAGGGGAGTTGAATCATCGCATGTATGGTTAGGATCGTTTCCTAACAAACCCCACCTCATGTTTCTGTATAGAGTTGAGGCTGTGGGCTACACCCGATACATGTGCGTGTATGCACCCTATCTAATTGGGAGTTGCGTTGCCTTTCCATAAGTTTTTTAGTTTTATTTGCACGGATTAAAACGCCACGGCTTCACCGTGCCACCTACAAAATATAAGCGCTCCCATTGCTCCTCTACATCATTCTCTTCACATGGCACCGGTGCCACTTCAGGCGTAATTTTGTTCTATGTGAATAAGCCTCCCAACGCGTCCTGCTATCCCTCGAAGCGCCTTTGATGCACCCAGTCGTGCCATCAATCGCCACTAAAAGCATCTTCAAGGAAGAGCCGCAAACATTCAGTATATGTTTGACCGGATATTTTTGTTCACTTTTGCAATACAACATGGTTCTACATCGGTCCACAAAGTGATCCGGAAGTTCATTTTCGGGCAAAGCAAAGACAAACATAGGGGAGCTATACCGGAGTCCGGACATCCACATGACCAACCAAAAGCCTCCGCGTGCCCTCTCTCTTTTCTCACTCTCTCCACATGCATGGTCCCCCTCTCCTCTCTCTCTCTCTCTCCTCCCAACCGCACATCACACTACAAATAGCCCATCACATGCATGGTCCCCACCTACTTTTTCTCCTCCCAATCGGATACTTTATGATTAGCATTGGATGGCTCACTCGAAAAAAAAACATTGGATGGCTCACTTCGGTATCGTGTCCTTCAAAGCACATCCGGACATAAAAACGACATATACCATAGACTTTTGCGGGTCGGCATTGGAGATGCCCTAATACCCCAATGTTTGAGGGCTAGAAACACTGCCATGTCGATTAGAACACTACTTCCCCACACACAGTACACCCCCAAGCAGGTGAATTGCCACCGCGGTGGCTATCTCTTCGGCTTCCTCGGTATCGTTCGATATGAAGGAAATATGCCCTAGAGGCAATAATAAAGTTATTATTTATTTCCTTATTTCATGATAAATGTTTATTATTATTCATGCTAGAATTGTATTAACCAAAAACATAATACATGTGTGAATATATAGACAAACATAGTGTCACTAGTATGTCTTTACTTGACTAGCTCGTTAATAAAAAATGGTTGGATTTGCTAGCCATAGACATGAGTTGTCATTTGATTGACGGGATCACATCATTACACTAGTAGAAAAGGGGCCATCAGTCCCGGTTCGTAAGGGCCTTTAGTCCCGGTTCTTGAACCAGGACTAAAGGGTTGTGACTAATGCCTCCACCCTTTAGTCCCGGTTCTAACACGAACCAGGACTAAAGGCCCTCCACGTGGCCACTACGAGCAGCCCAGGCAAGGGGGCCTTTGGTCCCGGTTGGTGACTTGAACCGGGACCAAAAGGCTTCCACGTATCAGCAGCTGAGGTTTTTCTTTTTTCTTTTTTTTAAAAAAGTGGCTGGTTTAGGGGTTTTGGGGGTTAATTTTAGGTTGTTATTAGCTAGCTAATAGAGAGAAGTGTCCTCTCTTATACCGTCATGTTCATTTCACCCGTTGATATATAATAACTATGCATGCTCGCATCATACATCATCATATATAATAACAAGTCCTACTAATCATGCATCATCATACAACTTCTACTCGTTATTAATAACAAGTCATACGATCATCATCCTCATAGTCATCGAACCCAACCCTACATAATTGTTCTTACCACATGATCATCAGTATCAGGTAGGACCTAAACACCCTTAAGATAAAATAGCATAAAACAATATAGACCATGAGTCTCCATTATGAAGAATGGAGATCATCCTGTCTCCAATTCTTACGCTTCGCCTCCTTTTGCTTGCAAGAAGCTCCTTACGACTGTCCATACATTTTTTCCATTCTTTGATTTTCATGTCTCCACTTCTTTTAGAAATCCGGTATGGACAATTGAGATTCGTAGGACGACCTGGTTGTATGTTCAAAACATCAAGGCGACCGTGCATATACATCAGATGAGGCACACAATCATTCGGGATTATCTGTTGAAAAACATAATAATAACTTCGTAGTTACTCCCTCCTTCCATCTATATAGGGCCTAATGTGTTTTCCGAGGCTAACTTTGATCAAATATTAGAGCAATAATATATGACATGCAACTTACACAAAGCACACCGTTAAATTCATGTGTGAAAGGAGCTTTCAATGATATAAATTTCACATTGTGCATGTCATGTACTATTAATCTTGTCGATAGTCAAAGGTGGTCTTAAAAACGCATTAGGCCCTATATAGATGGAAGGAGGGAGTAGCAATGATGTACTAGTTTTAGAAGTATTTAAAAAAAGATGCAAGGATGTCGTAATAGTAAAAAATCTTACCAGGGTATCTCCATGGTAGTTACCGTAGTTCAACACGTGCACTAGTGGCACATATTGACCATAATGTTGAGGAGTTCGATTGTAGACATTATAATTCTCAAGATCAGTACAAAATGCGATCAGATGATTTTTCTCCTTATAAGTTAATTTGGAGCCATCGGTATAGTGGGTTTTGTCTACCATTTTCCGCACATTCTTTGAAGAATGAAAATAAGCTGTCAATGGAAACAAGCTGTCAACTATTTTGAAATAAATAATATAAATTACTTAATAACTATTTAATCTCACATGGGGGAAGAATTTTGGAGGTGTATCCACAAGGACCCAAATGCCCATATTGTCTTGCTGGATTGTAGGATCACCAAGATCCATGGTGACAAGCATACCCTCATCAAAACCATACATCTTGCAAAGTGCTTCCCAATTTTTGCAACCAAAATGGGTTACACTCTCAGCATTGTACAGCTTTATTTGAAAATTCACACCATGATGGGTCCTTAGGAGAATTTTTTTGGTTTCCATACTTTCATGGTCTTCAAAACCCATCCTCTCCAAGACATAGCGTCTTGCATAGCATGGGATAAGCTAGACGAATTGGAAAAGATGAAAATACACGTTAAAATAGTTGAAGTCATGCTTAATTACAAAAAAAACTATTGTCCTTGTTGTGTACCGTATTAACATTGAAGGTCTCCTCGAGCTTAATGCTGAAGCGCCAATCTTCGTCCAGCTCAATGAACCTGTCGCACATACCTCGGTCGTCGTGGCACCAGTCGCACTCCCCCGAGCGGTTTTCATCGTCCGAGTACGACATTTCCGGCCTAAGTTCATAATTCAAATATTAAATATATGTACTAAAAACCTAAATTAGATCATTATTATTAATCACGGGTTGACTATCGGTGA